CCTTCGTGGGTTTCAAAATTACAGATTTTAAGATTGTCATCGTAAGAGGCGGAGTGCCAACCTAAGATCGTCTTACACGCTCTCCTTTGAATGAATTCAATTTCCTCGCAAATATACGGGTGAGACCCGAGTGCCAAATGACATCCGCATACTCAAGAACTGGTCTTATACAACCAGTGTACACAGTGCTAAGTTCAGAGGGACCAAAACCAAATCTCTTCAAAGTGCGTAACAAAATCCTTTTCTTATTGGCTTTTTCTAGCAATTTCTGAATATGAACAGACCATTTAAGATCACTTTCCAGCCACAGTCCCAGGACTTTGGCTTCGGAAACATATGGGAGGGAGGAAAAACTTAATCTCATTCTGTCGAGGGAACTGTTTTGATTTACAGAAGCTGTGAAGGTGCTGCAGCGGGCCATTGAGATCTACATCGACATGGGCCGGTTCACCATCGCCGCAAAACACCACATCTCCATCGCTGAAATCTATGAGAATGAGCTGATCGACCTGGAGAAGGCGGTGGAGAACTACGAGAGGGCTGCAGAGTACTACAAAGGGGAGGACTCTAACAGGTCAGTGTGGGAAAGGGAGATGGCGTCATTGGCCCCAACCAGATCTTTCAAAATCCAGGGCTCATGAAATTGAAAAAAATGTACAGTGCAGTTGCCCTTTGGGCAGGGGAGTCTAAAATTTGGTTCATTTTCAGTTGCCGGACAAGGAAGTTTTTGCCCCAAGCTGTAGGTTGACGGTTTGTCTAAAATCACAGGAGCACCAAAAAAAAATCAACACCTGAAAAAATGACAGGTTGGTAGGTCACTCACTACGCAAGATTCCATGAATGTTTTTCCTAGTTTCGGACCGTGCATGCAAGTACACATATGAACGTCGCGAACTCAACTACACGTGCAACAGATTTGTACGTGACGTAATGGGGTTGTCACTTTTGCGGCATGGAGGGGATTTATGGTCGAAAGCTCACTGAGCAGCTAAGTCAAGTCAAAATTTATGCTGGCTATCCATTTTATTGCACTGAAATTCCAATATTTTAACTAATTCCCTTAAAAAGAAGACATGCTCTACTAGAAAATATGCTTGTTACAATGTTTTTGGCTGAGAAATGGGTTTACGCTTGACTACTTTTTATGTGTAAAAAAATATTTGAAGCGATCTGGAACTGGCTAAACCAATCCAAAACTAGGAAAAGTGTTGTAATCACTTTTGTCGATCTTGTAAGACCAAATTAAAAGCTTAAAATTGAAAATAGTTTTGAAGTATCTTTGCATTCATGTACAAGGTAGACCTCTGACCCCATTTCATTGGAACATGAAGATAATGGTGCTGTAATATGACTGAATATAGTTTTCGCAATCCAGAACAAGGAAAACGACTGAATATAGATGCGGCTGCATTCATGCCAACGATTCAATCAGACGTACCTCGGTCGAAAAAAAGGTGTACTTGCCCTTCGGGCTAGCAACCTGGAACATTTGGTTGTCCGACAAAATATTTTTGTCGTCCTTGGATGTCGGACTACCAATTCTGCAAGACCTGAAATTCACAAAACAGTTTAAACCCTAGCGGGCTCGACATTTTCACTTAGCATTTTTATGAAAATCCTCTTGAGATTAACCACTCTAAAGGAGTCCGTTGTCAGACTCTCAATATTAAAGAGATGCAAAGTCTGCGTCAACGGAAAAATAATAATAATTTTTATCACAACCATGACAACTGTAAATTGTAACTTACCACCAGTCCTGTAAATCTTTGACAACCTTTCCCTTGATATTGATTCACCTCAGAGAGTTACAATTTATGCAAATTGCTGTCAGAAATTGCAAGATTACTACATGCTCTCAAACAGGGAGCTCAAATTATTTTGAAAGAATTAGATAACAATTAGTAAATTGAACTAAAATATGTATTACTTCTTCTTACAGTTCAGCCAATAAGTGTTTATTGAAGGTAGCCATGTATGCAGCACAGTTGGAACAGTACGCCAAAGCCACCGAAATCTACGAAGAAGTCGCAAAGACTGCAATGGAAAGTTCTCTGCTCAAATACAGTGCCAAGGAGTACTTCTTTAAGGTGAGATAGCAAATGCAACATAGTTTGGATTTTTTTTTTTACTAAAAAAAAGAAAGATGTTAGGTAGGCACACATTTGTGTCATTTCGTCCTACACCAACATTCTCAAAGGTTTATCAGTGACATCTTTCCGGAGTTGTGAAAATGTAACCAAGGTTGAAATTCTTGCGTGTTTGAACTTGTGGACATTTTCTAACCACCTGCAGTTTCACTAATGTTGTAAATTAACTGGTTTGATCCCAAATACTTTCAAATCCCTCTACCTAACCCCACATCACCACAATCCTGACCATTGATGGTTGATGTCCTTTGTGCAGGCGGCCTTGTGCCATATGTGTGTGGACGCCCTGAATGCACAACACGCTGTCACCAAATACAATGAAATGTTCCCAGCGTTTGCAGACAGTAGGGAACATAAGCTCCTCAGTGTGAGTATGAAAACTTCATGGAATCCTGGAGTTTTGGTAAAGTCTTGAGCAGATCATGTTCAGGTGTTATTCAAAAAACAGTGGCTTGTGAAGGCAGATTTAAGGAAGATTATTAAAACGCTTTAAACTTTTATTGAAGTTATCTCTTGGAGGGTGATCAGAAGTCTACGAAAATCTGTTTATATAAAATATTTATGCATGTACATACAATTGGTAGAAAGTCAGAATGCCATTTCCACACTGTTCATAGTCTCTGTGTTTGAGCTATATTCAGCCAAATCATGTGCTCAGTTTGGTTTGACACTCTGAAGGCCAATAGATGAGAAATTTTGCTCCTCAAAGTAATAAGAAAAGGTAATAAAATTCAGTGCGTTGGAAGCTTTCCTTGTGATGCGATTAAATCCCTGCTTGAGTCCTCTTATCACCTAGCCACGTGCGTTACCTTTTTACATATTTTCTCCTCACGAGTAACACCTTTCTTAACCAATTGTTTTTGCAGAAATTATTGGATGCAGTGGAGGAACAGAATGTTGATAACTATACTGAAGCAGTAAGTCTGCCATTTCCAGTTGGATTTTTATTGATTAAAAGAAGCGGTTCTCTTGGACGCGTTGTAATGTAGTGAAATCCTTTTAATTTATTATTTTATCAAATTACATACGAGTCATATTCACATGTAGAACACTTGTTAACTGCTTTGCAATTCGCATACAATTCCACTGAGCATATTCAGATCTCCTGTCTGATGTTTGCGTGCAGAGAAGGCTTGTAATTGCACTTTGAATCTGTCGTGTGAGTTGAACAAGACACACACTGTCTCAATCATAATGTAAACAGAAACCTTACAGAATAGTGTCATAAGCAGTGCTGGTAATGATTTCTTTCACTTTCGTGTGGGCAAATGCGGTGACAACCAAATCTAAAACTTTTTGTAAAGTCCTGTCATTTCACAGCTTGGAGAGTTTTACTCTCTTGGTTTTGAGACTGTCAAAACTTTGCGCACCTCTTTCGCAGGGCTTGATGTTCTGGAATAATTTCCGAGAGACTCCCGCGCCACTCGTGCACAAAACCAGAAGTGCTTTTGTGAGACCTGTGTCGTCATACTTGTAGGGGGAATCCACATATTGCTGTATGAAATGGAAAAAAAAGACGGGATGATGAAAGGTTATTTAGGCCATTTTAGGGCTGAAAGACAAACCTGACAATTCTAAGAATCAGAAATTGTGAAAAGATATCAAACAGTGCTTCAAGAATATAGCTTTGTCTCTGTGTTTCTTATCAATGGCCCAAAGACATTGTGTCGTCACTGGCATTGTCTAAAGGGTTGTACATCAAAACCACTTCTCCAAATATCTGTCTGTTGATATTAGAAACTGGTTTCACATTATTGACAAAGGGTATCTGCAGCTGTTAATTAGGAACTTTTCTGAAATATTTTGGGCAAAATCTTGACGTATGAAAACCAAGTGGAATATAAAAACAAATTTCACAAGTACGTGTGCAAAGGTTTCTGAGCGTTTTGGAAAAGAAGAAATTGAAGGCATTTGAAAGTAGTTGTCTGTATATCTCGTTTTTCTTTGCACGTTGGAGTTTGGATCCTTACCCTGGTACCCATGGTTACCCTATTGAAATAAACTCAGTTCCCGTTATAAACGCACACCACCACATGGTCACGACATTCTCTCATTACCAAAACCTCTATTTTGATTCGTCCATCCAGGTCAAAGGCTACGATTCCATCTCTCGATTGGACCAATGGCTGACCACGATTCTGTTGAGGATCAAGAAGACTATCAGCGGTGATCCAGATCTACGGTAATCTGTCCTGACCGTCCGGCTGTCGCTGCTCAAGATAAGCTGTTTTGTCTTCTTTCAATTTCTGTCAAGAAAAGTGTATTTAATCAAGGAATAGAAATACTCTGTTAGTGAATAACCCGTATATAAGCCATTTACCCGAGTCAAAACTGGGATAAGAATTCCTAAGATTATTATAAGCAAGCACCTGCTTAAACTTTGATGATAAGATTCATTGAGAAACTTGCATTTTATCACACTGTAGTCAGCCCATGCAGTCACCCAATGATGTGAATTTAATGGAAAGGGCGACTTTTTTAATTTGTCTGTTGACTGCACCAGTTGGTGGTCAAACTCGTACCCTTTGACAGCTTCAAGCATTGAAATGAAGATTGGGAATTCTTCAAACAAAACTTTGTCATTACACCCACCTACGAGTATATATCTTTAAAAAGTGGAACATTTTCTAACAGGTTTGTCCTAAGTATGGACTGCAGTGTCCTCGATAATTGCAGTTGGTTTTGTTTGAAGAAATACCAAGCATGCATGCGCATTCCACCATGTTACTTTCAGATGCATTACCTGTGTTGTTTGAAACAAGGTTTGGTGTTTAGGTTTTTCTACTTGTGTATTGTGACTGGCCTTTTTTCATGACGCGTTTTTGATAAGAGACATACATGAACGTATACACGTAGACCAATCGGGCGATCAGACTTACAGGCTATCTCTGCCGTGGTGCCATGCTTGGGCCCCGGGGTTAGGCGTACGTTTCAATACCTCTTCAACCAAGACAGTGTTGTGATTTGCCCAAGTGCATGTACGCCTCATGCTTCGGGAGACATGAGCTTGAGGCCACCCCAGTAATGGCGTCCGAATGTCTGCTAGAACATCGGTTTGCTCTTGGTATGTGTGCTGTTCTTTGCATCTGTGCCGTTTGAGAGCCAATTTCCCTTACAGCTTAAATTATGCAAACTGTTCTTGTTCTTCATTTTACCAAAAATAGCTTTCTCACTCTTTCCTGGCTACGAAATTGGCCCTGACCAGCTGACTCAATGCAATCAAATGATTTTTGTTTGTCGTATGTAGAACTACTGTGTACATGTATATATAAATCATGAGTCTATTTACAATGGTTAGTGTTATAATGTAGTTTGATAGATGCATTTATCACCAGGTAATCCTACTGTGGCTCCACAGGTTGGTTGGTTAAGAATCTTTCTTTTCGTCAGTGGTAATTTGAGTTTATACACTTTAAAACCAAGGCAAGTGCATTTTGAGGGAGTGATAGAATTACTTTTGTATCATAAATACGGAGGTCATTTGTGTATTGATTCTTGCCAGGAAGGGATTTGCGCTATATGATTTGTTTTTCCAACTTAAAGTCCTTGTTTTTTTCTGACACAGTCATACTTCAATTACGTCAGTTCGTCACATTGTTGACGGTATACAATTCAGCGTTTGATCACTGGTAGAATTAGATAATCATTCCAGATTCTAAGTATCTACATGTAAACAAGAAAACTTGTGTATAATTGTAATTTGTGTAATTTCATAAAGTGTATATTGTCATTGTCAGTGATAGTTTCATCGGTCAGTTGCATTCAATTCTAATTTGGAAAAGAGCAGAATTGTGCCGACGAAAACAATTTTCATTTCGAATTTTAAACATTTCCCTTAAGGTTAACGATCCACAATTTCCTGACATCATTTAAGCATTTTGTCTTTGATCTTTCAGCGAGTTTACAAATTTAACCTAGCAAGCATATAAACAGCTAAACTAATGTTTTGTAACATGCATTGAAATGTACAGTTGTTGAAGGATTTATGACCACTTCCTAAGTTCAGCTCAAGTAATAAAGTTCACATGTATCCATCCCCTTTTCTTCTTGGAAAAATACAGTAGATTAACGTCAACCTTTTCCGGGGTTTTCAAAATGAGTCACATTTTTCTGAATGACAAAATTGTAACTACTACAGCCCGTTTTCAATGTACATGTAATAAACTACATTAACATTAAAGAAGAAGCATATGTTATAGTAACTCCTTAAACTTTTCTTTTATTTTAGTCCTCTTGAGTTTTCCACTCTGGAGGACCAGTGATGCGTTGTCTGTACGGTTAAACTTTCACAGTGAAAAGTAACAGTGGCTGGGCTCAGCCTTCTAAATTACGGAGAACCCTCTGGAACCTGCTAGATTTTTGAATGATCTGGTAGGGTAAGGGTGGGTGATACATTGTAAATGTGGTATAGTACGGATTTACGGTGTGCTATAAAGCAGTATGAAAAATATAACGATTTGTGTTGCATAAACCTGTAATCTGTGCGCACAGTTGTATTGGCTTTTGATTGAAAAGGTATAAAAAGGGTTGTACACCAGATTTTTAATCACTCGTTGAGGTGCTGTTTGATTTGTTTGTTATACTTGGAATTGTATTCAATCAAGTTAATTTGATTTGGCAAAATTATTTTCCATACACGTATTTTATTTGATGGTTCATTCTTGAGAGCATTTGGCTGGCTGTCAAAAATAGCTGGGAATGCAAATTAAAGAATTAACTGTTTGGGTGGGGGGCGATAGTTTTCAAGAAAGAGCCCATCCATTCACACCTCAAGCAGATATCAAAAAGACGTTAGTTTTGGCTGAACAGAACTTAAAAGATTTGAGCACGTGGTGGCCCAGAAACTACTTTAGTCAATTCTTCCTGGCACGAGAATTTTTAGGCCATAGCAGCCTGTTAATGTTGGTATTTCAGGTGCTTTTCTGCTCCGAGACCCCAAAAAGTAAAAAATTGGGAAAACGATATAAAATAACTGAAGTAACTGCACTAATACCATTGTGAACCATTTAGCCATGTATGTTTCATCATTATTTCTGCTTGTCTGTAAAAATGAGACATTTAAAATCTCCTGCCTGACACATCTGCCCCTGTATTTTCTCTCATTTGGAATGCATGACTTATTACCGTAAAACCTGCTTATCTTGACTAGTTTTATTCAATTCAAAGGAATGTCTGGTATTGCATCAAATTAGCATGGAACAAAATCGGCGAGAGTAACGTACATTTTCAATCGAAAGTGAGTTTATATAGTATATTAGCAAGCTGTCTAGCTGTGGCACAAGTATGGGTCTGCTTTCTCTGTGTATATTGATCTAGCGAACAGAATTGGTAGCCATCACTGGACCGGCACTGTGCTCATGCACAGTTGGCACACAACTTGTTTCTCCTCATAAGGTACTGTGATTTGCCAAAATGAATAGGCATCACGAGTTCAAGAACATGCGTATTGAATGTAGTGCCATTGTGGTGGCTACTCGGACTAGTCTATTGCAGAATGCTGTAAGTTAAGAACGTAATGAGGGCCAGGAGTTGTGGAGCCACAGCATCAGATGTGCTCTACTGTACCCGGACGTGTATTTGAAACTGCTCATCAGATGTAAGCCCTGCAGCTGCAGGACTTCAAGACTTTTTGAAATTGTAAAACACATGGGGCAAAGTGTGCGTGCGTGTCAACATACTGTCTAAATCTTCTGCAGATCTATTAAAGTTTGTGTCTGCTTCGGCTTTACGTCATTATCAAGCCTAGACATAGTCGGCAAAGCTGACAAAGCCAGGTGACCAGTAAAAGCTCAACCCCTTTTTGAGATTGTTGGTTTAGTGCAAAACCCCTCCGTCTCTGGGGATTTGAGTGCTGGTTCTTATTAGCAAGTTGAAGTTGATGTGCAAAGTTTTACAACCATTTCAGGCAGACGCATACACAGTTTCTCCAACTCAGCAGTACCGGTTACTTTGTCGATTGATTGTTACCAGTAATTGTGCAAACTCATTTTATCTTCTTGTCTTACTTTTACTATAAGTTTATTCGAAATTATGCTTGTATTATTAACTTGTTACTGATTGTAACATAAATATTATCATACCAAATTGTTCAATATTTCATATGTTTGGAAGAAGAGAGAACGATGAAAAAAAGAAATACTGAATGGTATTAAGGCAGGGAAAAGAAAATTTTATGTACATGTATTTAAAAACACCTCCAAGAACTTCATGACTGTTTGAAATTGGAATTAAATGTCTTGAATAAAGTGTAAACCCCAAAATTGAAAAAAATAAACAGTGGACATGTAATAGTGTGTGTTGTTGATTTGCCTCACAGTTGATTTATTAAAAGTAATCTGTTTTCAAGATCCCTCTACATGAAGCACTTTGTGTTGGTCATTGTTTCACTGGAATTTGAGGAATTTTTTTCAGACATCTAGGGGGATGTGTTAGATAACAATAGTCCAGAGTGTGTATAGCGATATGGCATGTTGGGGGGAGGGGTACCCCTCGGTGTCATTTCTTGCTAGATATAGATCCCTCAGAATTTTAGATTTTCAGTGTCCAAATTGCCTAATTATACCAATGGGAATATGTTTTTGCATTTTAATTGGGTAAGAATTATCTGTGCTTATGTAGTATTACTCAACCCCTCAAAGCGATTGACCAAACCGAACCAATTCTTGGTTATGACCGCCAAAACATACCTGAAGAACAGTTTTCCATTTTTGCACGTGGTCCATTAAAGGCAAATACTTAAATGACTTGTGATTTCTGGGATTTATTTTGATGGCACTATTTCTGGAAAAGCTGGGCCCCTCAAAAATTGTCCTCTCTAAAAACCTCTATGATCATTTTTTTCTTCATCGTCCTGGGCGCTGGCTCAATCTCTTAGATCAGGACATATCTCCAGTCTATCAACACTGACGAGCTGCCTATGCTGGCCACGTACGTACGTACGTGTACATTATTACCGGCATAGCTACACTGTGAGATGCAATGCTGTGCACATGTGACGTGTAATCAATCAGCTGTCTCGTACGCCCTCCCCTGAAAGATCATTGTTTCTTGATAATCATGGACATTTGATACTATACAGCGATTGCCTTTGCACAGATTTGTGGTCGTGGATCGTTTGGCTGCCAACGTTGTCAGTTCACTAGTCACGTCAGTGGAAAATAATCCGCCCGTTCCATGCTGCTAGCTGCTCGACAGGTGGCTGAATAAATGAATGTAACGTACAAGCTGGAGCGGGCCTGCAGCCTTAGCCTAAAATAAACACCGCCATCCCCGCATTACGTACCCTCCATGCTCGCATATGGACAACATGTTACACTTGGAGGAGTTAGAAGAATCTGACGCCACTGAAGATGAGTTTTATTTGGAACTAGGCCAGCACGATGATCGTAAAAAGCTCGTAAGTTATTTATTTGAAGACCGTGACTATGAAAAGAGCCTACGACTTTTACGAGTACGACTGACATCACTTGACACCCGGTCAATACCTGTCTGTCTGTGCACAAATCCTGCTGTCATGACTGGCAATTTTTAAGTAAGCCTTTTCTCTAAAAGTATTATTGGGGCTGGAGAAGAGTTCCACATACGGATGCCAAAAATTATTCCCTACAGTGACCTATTAACTGTCAAAAAGCAAAAACATGTTCAGTAAAGCTCAATTCAGGAGGGGAAAACCAAGCTGTTTACATAGGAAATGCTTAGAATTTCCACACCAGTCTCATGGGGGGGGTGTAAATTTGGGGACCCTGTTCCTATAATAAAATTTAGAAGGGAGAGCTATGTACATTTTAACTTTTGAATTGACCTTGGTAGATGACAGTGACATCATGCTCAATAACTGTAGGGTTGATGTTTTCAAAAAAGGGCAGGGTTTCGAGTTTGGAGGGAAATATGAGGGGAAACTGAGTGTTTTAATACATGACACGTGGTGGATTCCAATTTGCATGCTGGCTTATCAGTAAGAAAGTTACATTTTTTCACAATTCACGATTTGAAATTTCCGAAAAGTAGGGTCAGTTCAGTAAAGAGAGTGTTGCCTTTGTTTTTCGGGGAGACTTACCAGTTTTGTAAGATTAAAATGACCAAAAAAGGGGGGTCCCCAAGTATACAATCCCCTCATAGGGTTTGTGCTCAGGGTGTCAAGTGGCGTGCATATATGGAATGCCTGGATAGGTTCCTTGCTAAATTTGACTTTTGGGACATCACTTTCTGATGGCTTTGCACCTTTGCAGGAGAAAATGGTGATATCCATAAGTGGAACTCTTACCAAGAAACATGAAACAAGCCCATTGGTACATGCACTACAACTTTTTCTTTTTGTTTTTACTTTTATGCCGAGGTAGAAATAATAATCTTTCTGAAGGCTGCCAAGTTTGTATAATTTCCTCTCAATGCATTAGGAGCACCTTGCTTAGTGACTTGGCTAATAATCTGATATGCGCCCCTCTACGTCAGTTTTTGAGTGAGCTGAAGGACCACTTTGCTGGCTAGGTTCTTCTTTTTTTAACCCCAATGCCATTACCTTATCTCAGTGATTATTATTTGTTATGTGCTTTTTCTTGCCTTACTTTTCTGTTTGGGTTTTGGCAGACATCTGCCTTTTGGCGACAGGTTTATTGTAAACTTTTATGTTCTCCTGGGCGGCCCACTGTGTTTTGTGTTTGTCTTGTATGTGGAATTGCCCAAATAAATATTAGGCCCTATTATTTTTATTAAGTTTTACTGAAAAATTTCAGGAAAATCTTCGGGAAATCAGTTCAAATATATTTCGATCATCATGTTACTGTTTCCACAAATGGACAAGTGTGTCAACAATTGCCTTTTTGGTGAAATAAAAAAACATGTTTCTTGTCCCCACCGACTTCCTTTTTGGAGGCGGCCTGGATTTTTTTTTTTTTTTTGAAAAATGCAGTAAAAAAATCCACAAATTTATCGGAAAATAAATATTTGCAAAATAAGTGAGCCAAAGTTTTCAGTATAGCTCTGTCGGTCACTTTGTACACCATATAAATCGATGCGCTATCGCAAAACACGTCTTCGTTAGAAGGCGAGTTTATCGGAATCTGTGTGCAGATACTGTATGTACATGTACTTTGTAGCCAGCATGTGACCAGTGTGGAACTTAAGGGCATTTCGAAATGAATGCATTAGGCTTGGTTTTTTGGTTTCGCTGGTTCCAATCAGAGCCTCACATGCAGTTCGGAATGCTGCATCAAATGGCTGGAATCAGTGAAGCCGACGACTAAGCCTAACCACTCGTTTCGAAATTGCCCTGAGCTCAGGCTCGAGCACGTGTTTAAAGAATTCGCTTGCGCGGCCATAGTCTGGTTCCTGATCCCATTTTCATCAATGCATTTGGACTTAGAAAATTGCAGGGGAGGGGGCGGGAAACAGTCTAGCAAGGCCGATGTTTTCCGTCAGTCGTGCATGCCTGCATGCTCATAATAAGCCTGAATCTTGTTTGGTTTGGTTTCATCAAAGCGCAAGTCAACAAACTTTTGTCAAACGGTGATGGATACATTGTATGTCACAAGTCCAAAAGGTAAAGTCTTTGTAGCAGAAAAAATAAAGACTTGCAAGAATAAATCGACAAAATGTAAAGAAAAAAATTTGCCTCAAATATTTTAATCAATCTTCATATGTTTATGGAAAAACAAACACATTTTGATTCATAGCTTGGCATGTACGCTTGTAGTTTTTCTACAAGCTGATTAAGATCACTGGAACAACCCACCTTCCTCTAGTATGCAAACATTACACTTGTATATATTGTCCTCGATTTTTAACTTTTAGCCTGTTATTTCATAAGAAATGATTCAAGGCAGCAAGATGGCTGACTTGAATCATTTTACAGTAGTTATGTAACATTAAAACGTAAACAAAGACAATGAGGTATAACTTTATAAGCCAATTTCAATATGTGCATGTATTTAACTACTTTTTAAAAAAATGCAAGAAAATTCATTTGCATTTTGTTGAGGGAGTGTGAGTCAAAGAAAATGGAATGTGAACTGGGAATAAGGTTGATGAGATGATGGGAAGGAGGGGGCCTTGAAGGACCCATCATTGATGCAGGGCGTCCTGTGAGTTGCTTGTCTCTGGATGGACCAATGGAGGGAGAAAGGTTTCTTGGTAAGGTTTTTTTGGGGGACAGTTAATCGATGGTGGGAAATTGTAAGAATTCATTTGGGGAGTTATAATTAATCAATTAGTGGTGGTAGATTCTCATCAGTTCCAGGCCAACAACTGGAGTGAGGTTTGGGGCCCTGCCTGCCTCTCATCATATAATTCCTCTGTAATGTAACATTCTCTTGTCCTTTCTTAACCCTAACCCTCCTCAATCCTTCACCTGTTGGAGGATTGAGGAAGGTTAGGGTTAAGGTTTTTTCAAGCTATGTGTATATTGCGTGTGCATTTTTGATGAACCATTTGTTCTGGTCACCAGAAGGAATTTAAATGAATACATTTGGTGTTATCTCTTTTTCTGAATGGCAGTTGGATAAGGAAGATGATGGAAGCAAAGTG